CGTGATTACCCCATGTGGCCTCTGCCGTGGCCCCTCTGGGCATCTTGAAGCATGCTTTGCACTCTGAACGTGGCTATCTAGACTAGGGTGGGAATCACCGAGTCACGATCTTGCCGAGGCTTGTCAGGTGTAAAATCTCTTTACACACCATCATCATGAGAAGACCTTCTAGAACTATCATGCTTGTCTGAACACCCCTTTCCCCCAATCCTATAAATAGACACCCTCCCTCCTCTAGGACTTCCCTGCCATCCATACAGAGCGATTATATGTGAACAAGTGCAATAGCCAGGGCTGAGGCTCAGGGAGGGTGGAAGTGTGTCCTCAAACCACACAGCACACCGGGCCACAGCAACACCTGTCCAGCTGTCGCACGGACCAAGCTGTGCTGAGGTGACATCCTCATGGGACACTCGTGGCTCTGCACATGAAGTGTTATGGCCCAGGCTGGTATAGCGGTCCCCACTTAGGGCAGGGTGATTTGTGGCAGAGGGGAAGGGACAATGGTGAAGTCACATGTAGCGCTTCTGTGGCTCCACTAGGAAAGGCCATGGTGCCTCTGCTCGCACGGCTCTGGACAGTACTATCTCCATCACAGCCAGTTCCGCCTCAGCTCTGGAGAGTGGCATCTGCTTGTTCGTTCAGGAACTGAGTTGTGTCTGGGTAGGCCACTGGGTCCAACTGGCTCTTGCAGCATGGTGCCTCCTGACCCTGTGGCCCAGCCCTTTGGTTAAGTCCATTAGCTGGAAGGGACAGCAGCTGACCCCACTGGGACACCACCCTGGCAAGGAATGGGTATTTTTAATGCAAGTGAGCTCTAATTTCCAGGTTACTAAATGCAAGGCTCAGGCCCGTGCCACCCACGACTGTACCAGCCGACCTCTGTCTTAAGGTGTGGCCTTAGGCAAGGTACTGTGCCTTTCTAGGCCTGGACCTATTGAGGACATCCTCTGTGATTTTTATTTGTGAGTGTAGATACAATGTCTCATTCTGTAGCCCAGGCTAGCCACAAGCTGGAGGCTCCCATGTGCTGGGATCAAGGTGTGTGCCACCATTCCTGGCTTCCTCTGTGTTTTGCCTGCCCTCATTGGTTTCTTCTCTATCTGTTTTTTATTTGTTTGAGACGGGGTCTCATGTAGCCCAGGCTAGTTACCAACTCTCTACGTAGCCAAGAATGACCTTGAGTGACTGGTCCTCCTGCCTCCACCTTCTAAGAGCTGAGATTACAGGCATGTGCAACCATGCACCTCTTATGTGGGACTGTGGATAAAACCCAGAGCTTAATTCACACCAGGAAAAAACCAAAACCAAAACCAAAACCAAAAACTCTACCAGCCAAGCTGCAGCCCCTGGTCCCTTCTCCTGCCCGTTTATGAAGCTTCACAGTGACTCCCCAAAAGTAGCACGTGTATTCACTCCTACTTCAAAGCGGAAACTGAGATTCATCTCCTTCCGACCATGGAAAGTGAATTTTGAAGACTTGAATTTGAGTCCCAGTGGCTCCCACCTCCTGAACTGGCGTCTCCATTGTAAGGCTGACCAGGCCATTTCCACAGTGTGCTCTGTGTTCTCGGTTTATTGATGAAGTCTGCAAAAGGCTGTACCCGTTTCCATCCAGCCAACCAGCTGCAGCCAGGGGTCATCCTGCCCTGACTGATGGGCTGGACCACTGCTCCCATGACTTCCGGATGGAGGACGGGGATTTCCATCCCAGGCCAGGCTGCTGCTGCAGCTGTCTGCTGATGGCTGCTGACGTAGCCTCTCTGCTCCACAGACACACTGCGAGTCCTGTGGTGGGAAGGTTCCATTATCACTTTGGAAACCCTAAGGAAGCTGACTCACCGGGACCCGCACGCCTCGACTGCCACTGTCTGAGGCTGGGCGAGCACAGATGCGCCGCCTCAGCCTCTGTCTTTTATCTTCGCCCTCCACCGGCATCTGGATGCAGTTAATTTCCAGATTGCATATTTCAAATTGCGTTTTAAAAATTAAAGACTCAAATCCTTGCAGCTGGCAGCCCTTAGAGAGCGTGGCCTAGGGGGAACTGCAAGCTGTTGAGGTCTGTGGTCCTGGCACCCCACCTGCCACACACAGGGCGCATTTCCTGTAGGCAGCACCTTCTGTAGAATCGGAAATAAACGGACAGGCGGGGATACTGTCTGGCTGCAGAGGCCCAAGGCCAAGCCGTGCTCACACATGGAAAGAGACCTTTCTTTCATTAGTCAGAATGCTCAGGCTAGAGGGGACAGGACTCGTTCTTAATTCCGGGTACAGGTGGGGTCAGGATGAGAGTACAGAAGGCGGGGACCTCATCTCTGGTGTCTGTTTTAGATTTGGCCTTGGGATTTCCCATGACTTAGCACAGTCTGAGGTTGTAGGGACCTGACTCTAAACTCCTGACCTGGGATGGAAATCCTACTTCCCCACCCTGTTCCCCGTTGGCGTGCCGTTCACGAAGCTCTAACACCTGGCCAGTTCTGGTCAGTAGCATGGCCACCCGTGTCCTGACCATCCCCGGTTCTTGCTGTGTCAGTACTACAACGACGTATCGGGCATGCCAGGACAAGTTTGGTCCCAGCGTGCCTTTCGGGAATCTGTGGTCTCACAGGGCAACAGCTTACCCATGAAAACAGGCCATGGCATGACCTCAGAATCCCCATGGTGTGGGGAGCCACATGAAGCTCAAGAAGGCTTCCTGATGGCTAAGCTGTGACCCAGTACCAGGGTACACCTGAGGCAGGGGGTTGACCCAGCAGAGGCGCATCACAGGTATGTGGCTAGTAAGTCTTAGGTGGGACCCCTTGGAACTGCTCATGTTGGGCTTGGCCAAGGTTCTCTGAAGAATTCAAGCCCTGGTACTGCCAGCAAGGCTGGGGGATCCCAGAGCTTTGATCCCCCTGGGGTGCTTCTCTCTGCCCAATTTCCATCGTAGACTGGACAGGTCTGTTTCCTTCTGCCTTAGCACTGTGCAGAGCAGAGGGACCTTCACTTTCCCCCTTGCCCTGAGCTCACTTCGGGAGTGTTTCAAGCTCCAGACAGGACCACCACCCCTCTTGCTCTGGATGCCAAACAGCATCTGCGGAGAACGGCCCTGCTCCCTTCCCGCCTCCTCAGCCCCCAGGCTGCTGCCATGGGAACCACCAGGAACAGCCTGGTTCTCAGAGCCCTGCCATGGGGGCTGCAAGAGAGAGAAATCTGGGGAGAGCTGGGCGCTTTGGGACCAGAGCCCACCTAGACATCTGTCTCCCGTGAGACTTCAGCCTATGAGTGAGTTGGGTTCTTGGCCCTTTTCCTCTGGCATTATCTCTCTGCTGTGCCCTTACACTTCCAGGCAAAGCTAGTGTCCATTAACAAAAGGCCAAGTGCTTGGCTGTCAGTCATTCACACTCTTGGGTGGTAGATGCTGTCTGAGAAGTGGGGTTGCAGAAAGGAGCTAAGACTCCTCTGTTTAGGATTTGCTGGGTACTGAGCACTGAGTGTACTGACCCCAGGTACTAACTGGTACTGAGTTCTGAGCACCTGCCTTGAGGCTGCCAACCTCCCTGTACACAGCATGCAGGGCGGAGCCTTACCAACAGCCCCTCCCCCACCCGACCCTGACTCCCAAGAGAAGTCTTCAATCCAAGAACTTGGCCAGCTGGAAAAGATTCTCCTGAATAGAGAATGAGAGTGGGCTTATTGGCTCTGCTTCTGCCCTGGCAGGGCTGAGCAGAGGCTAGCCACCTTCTCTCCACCAGAGGTCACAGCTGGAACTTGGGGTCAGCCTTGGAAGATGAAGAGAGACAAGGCTGCCCCCTACAAACCTGGAGATGGGCTGAATTTCTCATAGACCACACAGCGAGTCAGAGCTAGGAACCCAGGGCAGGCTGGAGCTCCAGTTCCAAATGGGGTCTCCAGGGGCTACAGCACTCAAGGGTCCTGTCTGGACAGAGCCACAGGTCCCCCTAGAGTGGAGGTTTCCAGCTGGCCTCTTCTCAACACCCTTTCTGGCCACACCCACTCAAGCAGATGCCCATGGCAGGGAACAGACTGGGGTGGGTGTCACTGGAGTGGTTAATAGCCCAGTCTGTGGTGGGTTCTATCAGGATCTCGGAAACCCAGCTGTGGGCAAGCCTGGAGGCAGCCCACCCTAGGGGACTGAGACCCCAACCTGGGGGAAGATTGGTGGAGGGAACAGATAAGCCAAAGGATAGGATCCAGAGGAGAGGCTGGGCTTAATGAAGGTTTGGGGGGTTGGAAGAGTCTCAAATTAGGGTACCAGGAACAGTCGGGCAGATGGGAAGGAGGTGGGGGATGTGGAAAAGGCTACCTGACAGAGGGCGTGGCCTGTGCAAAGGTCCTGTGCTGGGAGTGGCCAGATGTGTGCTTCAGCGCAAGCAAGTTGTAAAGAGACAGCAAGCCTTGCAATGGGTTGGAAGCGTTTGAAATGCTAAATCCCCAGGGGTCTTGCCACCTCTGCAGCCTCTGTGGGGTAAATGCTGTGTGAGGGAAAAGATAGGTGATGGAGAGGCCAGGAAGTAGCTCAGCTAGTACGGTGTTTACTTAGCATGCAAGAAGCCCCAAGTTCCATTCCCATCACCACACAAACCAAGCACTTGTCACCCCAGCACTCTGGAAGTGGTGGCAGGAGGATCAGAAACCCAAGATTATCTTTGGCTACACAGCAAGCTCAAGACCAGCCTGGCCCTATCTTTAAAAAAAAATAAAGTCATGGAAGAGATTAAGAGATCTCTAGGATACAGAAGGAAAAGGCTTGTGAATCATGGGAATGCCAATACCCAGCTTAGAAAGCTCTGGGGTCCTGCAGAAGTGCCTGTCAGGGAGGGGCCCAGGGAGCCTAACTTAGAGCATACGGCAGGTCCAGCGCAGTGGACGCTCAGAGAGAGTGTGAGGGGTGAACCCTGGTGCTAGCAGTGTCTCGTCAACCTGTGGTGGGTGCTGCCGGAGGGGGCTGGGGCTTCTGGGAGTGCCTGGCTCAATCCCTGCTTCTCCTTCCTCAGCAACTACACGGCGCTGCTGGGAGTGTGGATCTATGGCTTCTTCGTGCTCACGCTGCTGGTCCTGGACCTGCTCTATTATTCCGCCATGAACTACGACATTTGCAAGGTTTACCTGACCCGGTGGGGCATCCACGGACGGTGGATGAAACAGGACCCCCGGCGGTGGGGGAACCCTGCACGAGCCCCTCGGCCAGGACAGCCGGCCCCGCAGCCGCAGCCGCAGCCTCCCCCGGGTGCCCTGCCTCCAGCCCTCCAGGCCGTCCACACGCTTCGGGGAGACACACACAGCCCACCCCTGATGGCCTTCCAGAGCTCATCCGCCTGGTGAGTGTCTGCAACAAGAGTCTGGGTGGACTCTCTTGTTAACTGCTGCTGCTTTTGGATCACGGGGGTCACCTGGCTGTTTTTTGCCCTTACTGTTTGCCTAGGAGACACACGTGTGTCTAGGGGAGAAGCTGAAAAGACAGGTTGTCACTTGAGTTTCCTAATTGCCGAGGTGAAAGGAGAAGTTTTGGTGGTCTGGTCAAAGGAAAGATTGGGGAAGATCAGGGATTGGGGAAGAGTTTCCAGCATGAGGTCAGGAAATAAATCTCAACTCTATTCTTTAGTTCTTTTTCCATACCTACCTGGAGGTGACTCGGGAGGGCTGTCCCGTGGAGGCTCAGCAGAGAGAAGGCTGCTGGTAAGGGAGGTGATGCATCAAGGGCTTTGAGGACAGCGTGTCCGGCCTCATCTGGGCAGCTGTCATCTCTGCCCTTTGCCAGTCTGATGTTGATGGCAGCGTTGCTGCCTAGAGCTGAGGGCTTTGAAAGCACGTGTCTCATGAGGTCAACTCACCCAAAGGACAGAGACAAACATGCCTGCTCTTGGGCCCAGGATCAGGGGTGGGCAGGGTCTGGGGCTTGAAAAGTAGCTGTGGTCCCAGACTCTGAGCACGGCATCCCTGGGGGGTCGCATCCCAGAGCCCAGGCTGCAAGGTCATCTTGAGCCCTCTTGCTGGTGACCTGCCTGTCCCAGCACGGTGACCACTGGGCTCTGTGGCCACCTACACCTCCCAGCATAGAGACCACTGGGCCCTGCAGAGGACCGACCGGCCCACGCCTGGCTGTGCCGCTTCCCACCACTGCAGTTTCAGACTGCTATGTCACCCTTCAGCCTTCCAGTCCCCGTGAGAAGCCAGGCGTACCCTAACTTGGGTTATTCCGGGGTGCCCGGCACATAGTAGGCACACAGCAAACCTTGGCTGTTTCTCCTGGGAGGTACGGGCGAGCTTGTTAGCCACTTCTGGAGCAGCTCCCAGGTAGCGACCTTTTCAATAATGAATGGCGTGAATAATTAATCAGATGCACTTACAGCCCCTTGTGCTTACGGACCGAGTAACTGCCTGTCTATCATGCGGGAGACAGCCACTGCCTGACTTCCTTTGGATGAGCTCCGGGCTGACTCCTGTGGTAGGAGGCGAGGATGGGGAGAGCAGCCATTCAGGTGGAAAGCAAGCCCCAGACCCAGGGAAAGGTAGACAGTGAGCAGTCCGGTCACTGTGCCTAACGGCGGGGCTTCCCAAAGTATGCACCCCGTGTCTGTTACCACAGAACACTCTGCGCAGAGCCCACGGGCCAAGAGGGCCTGGTGGGGGTGCCTTTGGGCGCCCCCGTCTGAGAACCATCTTGGTGTGGCCAAGCTTTAGTTGGAATGGGCCTCCTCCACCCTCTTCTTTTGGGGTGCCTACCTGCTGCCCAGGAGGGCGATGAAGGTTACCCAGTGTTCTGTAATCTCAGCTGGAGCGTTTGCCTACCTGGAGGCCCAAAGGACCTGGAGATGTACCGAGGCCCCACCTCTGCTCCCGACGTCCCTGGCTTAGCTGCCGAGTGCTCCCCCTTCCAACACTGGTTTTCACCACCGTGAACGTGCTATGCGCTGGCTGTATGCCAAGTGCCCTGCTGTACCTTTGGGGTGCGGGAGTAGAAGAGGTGGCAGGGGTGTGCCCAGAGCTTGGAATTGTACAGAACCTAGAGTCTGAGGGAGAGTGTCAGTCTGGCCATTTGGGACATTACATACTGTAAGCCCCAGCTGTCTCTGCCTTCCTGGTTTCCTCTTGGGATTTGGGAAGTTGTGCCTGAGGCCACCTGGTTGCCCATTCAAACCATGGCCCAGAAGCCCATGGGGCATGATGTATTGGGATGGAATGTTCTAGTCACTGGCCACATTCACACACCACTTCCCAGTCCCTTTCTGCCCTTGGATGTGCAGTGATGTAGCATGGGGCTTCAGCTTTTCAGAGGAGAAGCAAGGGGAGAGAGTTGGACAGCCATGTGAAGACCTTCTCCTTTGGCACCCCAGGGTCCCCTGGGAGACTAGAGGGGCCGGGTGCAGAACTCTTGGAGATATCTTCTGAGCTCAGCCTGCAGCTTTTCCCTCTTCATCCTGACTTGCATAGAAGACCTCAGCATCTTGGCTGGCCAGCTCCCTGGCTTCTCTGGCACATGGCTTCCCCTTGCTGGGGCACAAGGTCTCCAGAGGAGAAGCCAAGAGGGTGATCGTGGCAGACCCATTTGTCACCTTGCCCCTGGGGAGGCTTTCGGTCAGCTGAGCTGAGCAATAGGTTCGGGGCATCTAGGGGAGACTGAGGCTCAAGGCCACATGGCCAGCTGGGCAGGATGTAGATGCAGGTAGCTGTGGTCTCAGCTACCCAGCTCTAGGGCCCACCTGCCCTGCTATAGGGGAAACAGGGGAAAGCTGTACCATGGGCCACCCAGCTAGCAGCGGGGCCACTACTGGGCCTATGGCTTCCGGGGGAGGGGCTTGGTAAGTGACAAGCCCTGGGCAGCCCCTAAGTTGAGGCTTCCGCAACAATATTAGAGATCCAGGGACTGTGGCACAGTCCTGATCCCTCAAACCTTATGAATAGTCACTCTGTTATTCCATCTCACTCTTGAGCCATGTGACTGCCTGGCTGAAGGCAAACCCAGGTGCCAAATTAAACAGCCGGGTATATGGAGCTTCGGCCGGTTGTCCTGCCCTGTGTCCCTGAGTTAGGGAGTAGTGGAGCCAAGGGCGAGTCGGAGACTCGCTGCCTTCATTGAATTTGACAGAGAAACTTTTGTTCAGATTCCCCAACTCCATCTCTGTTCAGGTGACCGGAAACTCAGCTCCCTGAGACCCCAGCACCCTCCACACCTTGAATCTCTCTTTACCCTCCCTGGGGGGCTCTGCCTTCCTCAGGCAGAAGTGCTCCATCCTCTTCCTTGACTGCATATTGCAGCGGTTACTGTACCCAGACCAGCCCCCTACCCAGGCTTTTAGGTTTCCTCTGTCTCCTGCTGAAAGTCCCAGCAGCTTGTTTTCTTGTGGTTTCTGGAGGTTCCAGGCTCTCAGCCCATGTTGGGGCTGCCTGCGGCTCATAGCAGATGCTCAGGGAGTACGCTCAGACAGGTCATCAGACAGGTCCTCACCTCACAGATTGGGAAACCGAGGCCCAGTCAGTGTGGGCTTGGGTCATGCGGGTGCTAGGGACAGAGCTGAAACGTGAATGACTCAGGAGCTGAGTCACTGAAAAGCCCACCACAGTATGTGTGAATCTCACAAAGCCCCCTGGAGCCCTCTGTGTTCCTGAAGAGACTCCTCTTCCCAACAGCTGCTCACTGTTTTATCCCCTCCAGGGGAGGTGAGGCCTCTGAATCTTGGGACTTTTCTGTGTCAAGATTCTGTCCGCTGATTTCCCTGTCCAGCGCTCCGCCATTTATGTCTGTAGACCAGGAAAGTGAGGCCCATAGTGAAAGGGTTAGACTAACTTTGTAACCTGTATGTCTTCTAAAGCCTATAGTTTTGAGTTTTAGGTTCAGGTTAAGCTAAAGTCTCTTAGTACCTTTCCAGAGAATGGAAAAATGTGACCCTATCTATGAGGACAGATAGAAAAAAGGCAAGCAAGCAATGACCTTCACTCAGCAAAAAGAAAAACTCCTGTCTTTGAGATACCATTTCTTAGCAACAAACCTAGACTTCTTCTGAGTAGCTTTTGACCTCCAGCCAAAAGTCTGTAGCCCCTAATCTTCAAGGATGAGCTAACCACCCCCACCTTCAATTGCAGCTGCATCCACACTTGGCAGGACTGGCCAAGCTTGAGCACCTAAGACTAACCAATTATCTTACTTTATAGCTTCCTCATCCAATCCTAAATTGCCAAGACTGCAACTTCAAATCTCCCGCAATTTTTCTTTTAAAAACCTAAAGGCCTTTGTCTCCGGGTGCCACTCTTTGCTGACCAGCAGGGGTGACCCCATTGCGCAATGGTTAATAAACCTCTTGCTTTTGCAACAAGTCTTGGTCTGGGGGAGTTTCTGGGAAGGGTACGATCTTGAACGCCTGAGCTGTGAGACCCCAGGTCTTACAATAGCAATTGGGTGACTGGCCCTGGGTCAGTCAGAAGGTCAGCTGTCAGCATTTGAATGCAGGTGGACTGCCTGAATGCTCAGCCCAGGCTGCTAGCCACCTTGCTCCACACTGAGGCGAGAGCCTCCTGCCTGTCTCCCTGCCCTATTCTTTTTCCCTCAGAGCAGAGTGACACTTTAAAAATGGAAATCAAAACCAGCCAGTGGAATCAAAATCCTCTTCGCTTTTGCTCACCCTGCACAGCGGCCTCGGGGGCCTTAACAAATGCTTCCGATCTAACAGAACACCTCCTCCCATGAAAATCTGGGGGGCTGGCTCCCTTCCTTCCACCAGGTGCATGGCCAGAGTCTCCATCCAGGAAGACTGTCATCACACCTCCCCTCCACCTCCTCCACACCCCCCCCACGCATCACACCCTACTCGCTCGCTACACACTCGTTTGGTCCCCTTTATATGTTACCACCACCTGGCAGTGTGTCCGGTTTCCTGTTTGCTGTCTGTCTTTTTGTCTGTCTGTCTGTCCCATGGGAAGGGAATCCTGGAAAGCCGAACTCTTGGGAGCTCCAGCACTGAGGAAAAACACCCAGCTCATGGTAGGCACACACGAATGCCCTGTGTCTGTTGGGATGGTGAGTTGAAGGCTCCCCCGTGAAGGTCAGCTCAGAGAATTAACCACGGAGTGTACAGCAGGCTGAGGGTGTAGACCTGCACAGCTCCCACGAATGGGGCCACAGACTGTCCCCAACAGCCCGAAGCATGAATGTCCTCAGGCCACCCCAAGAAACTGAGGCCCAGGGAGAGAACTACAGTGGCCTAGAGCCTGGGCAGGATGTAGAATTCAGGGTGGCTGATGTCTGAGCCAGTGTCCGGGAATGTAGGCCCCTTCCCTACTGGGACATCTGCCTCCTCAGACGGCTGGGACATCCAGACAGCTG